CAACTTTTTACCACTCAGCGGCAACTGGAGATGCTTGAAGCTGGTGAGTCTGCTTAGTATGGTGCCCTTCAGGGTGGGAAACTAACTTAGGACCTCATCAAAGTGGGTCGGGGACATCCTGAGTCCATGAGGCCAACTGTGTGAGTGTGGTGTTCTCAAGGTATAGAGACTCAAGATGATATTATTCATGAAGATTTCTTTTCTTACCTGCCAATTCAAGGTTGCCCCTCATTTTAATATTAGTTTCTTATTTCTGCACATTTCCCTCTGCTGGGCAGAAATTTTTGAGTTCTTTCATAGGTACCACTCAAACAATAACGTTCCTAACATCCACTAATTGACCTTTTACTTAAACTCCTGCTAGGAGAACAGAAAGTGCTCAGAGAATATGGAGATGGGCAGTGTATGGTGGTTCAATGACAAACAGGAAACACTTTCTGTGGGATGTATTTTTTTAATGAGAACACATTGTTATACTGTGAGCATGTAGCATTCTTGCTGAATAGAAACGTTTACAAGAACACATACACATTGATATCCAAACACCGAATGAAGTAGGTACTTGAAATGACCAGTTTGCACCAGCAATAAAATATATTATACAAAACAGGGGTTATATCCACAGTCATTAATTCTCATTTCTACACAACACAACAAATAAATTAAATCACATTATATGCAGATAGTTCTACTTACACATTAGAATAATAAACTGTATGTAGCTTATGCAGCTTTTGCTTTTACTTTTCTACCGGACTCGTGGTAGGTTTGTATTGTCTGGTAGTCCTGCATTTAAATTAACAATGACTAATACAGCCCAGTAGACAAGTGCTGCAGAGGTCGTCCCCACAGGGTCTAGACCGTGCCCTCCTGGTTTCGCCTATCCACCACGCACAGAGCACAAAGCTCGGATTCTCAGGACCCAGATAAAAGCTCTGCAACCTCACAGCCTCTCCAGACTGTCTAGGGCACCTCATGGGTATTTTGTAGTAAGACACACCACATTGGACATGTTCAGATTTGGTATTGAATAATAAATAGGACATCCTGCTTCAAAATCCAAAATTTCCTTCCTCAACCTTCTCTGCCCGATGACTATGACAGTTTTGTTCTCCTTGCAAATAAAAAACAATTTGGTAGGTTATGTTGTGACTTACCCTTGGTGAATGGGCCCTTTATTCCTTGCTGCATAGAAATTTAGGTCTTTAAACACGTGAATCAGAGCATGCAGCATTTTTTGCTAAGTCTTAATTCTGCTGGTTTAGATCGCTCCCTAGAAATCATCCCACACCTGCTACATCAAAGAGCTAGTATAACATATGGATTTTTACTTCTGAGACTCAGCTCCCACTGAAACCCTCCCCCTGTGTTTGAAGTAGCTTACGACATGAACATTAACAACATCAGCTGGTTTAGAATTGCTTTGCCTTTGGTGTGAATTAACATTAGTGGTTAATAAGAAATTTGAACAAACTCCAATCCTGCACCTTTTGAAAGTCCTTTTAATCCTAGTCTAGCTGTGGGGTGCGCCTGCGAGAGCTCTTTGAGAGATTGACATGCCGAAAGCCAAAGCCAGGCTTACTGGAGTCTACGCGCCGCACAGGCTTGAACTGCCCAAGAGCGTGTGTGGTCAAGTTAACGTAAGGGTTCGACCACCAGCCAGCTACATTCTCATAGCCAGCGCTGTGTTGTCTTCTTCCCCTCTGAGGAAGTGCGGAGGTCCCACTGCAAGTTCCTGCCTGCATGGGCAAGAAGACGCTGATGCATCTCTGGAGCCGTGATGGATGGTGCGTGGGGGTAGGGGAGGAAGGGCGGGAAAGACATAGCAGCTTGCTATGTCTTCTTCTGTTCCTTTGGGAGAATCAAGCTCCTGATTCTTCAGGTTGGGTGTGGCCCAAGCTTCTTGCTGAGTCTGGCTGTTGAAGAAGGACTGTTATTGGTTGTTCCGTACTTCCAACGATCTACTGGAAAAAAAACAGATCTCCTGAACAGCACCATCTCCTTGTCTCCTCTGCCACACTGCCCAAAAGCACATGTCATGTTTTTAGGCAACTTCACTTTCTCCATGGAAGACGTTCAGTCCATTATCAGCTTCCTCATGAAGCCCTGGACCACAGGCTACAACTAAACAAACCCGTGGAACGCGGATCCAGGAGCCGAATTGTGGTTGGTGTTTGGTGTTACGAATGCACCCACTCAGCATCTAAGTTCTTTGTGTCTCAAGAAACATAGGTACACGTGCCTTTCAGTTTATAGACACTCCCTTAATAAGGGTGGCGTAATATCTATCCATGCTCCTAAAGAGACTTCCACAAATAGCTACTGCAGACTCGCTCACTCACTCACAAGAAGGAGATGCCTCTGGAACCCACTTGCTGAATTCCTGCCACCGTACAAGAGCTGCCCAGCGGCCATCAGGTGGGCACTTTGCCCTCGCAAAGTCAGCGGCAGCCAGAAGGAAAGTGGGGAAGTGGGGGGAAGGGGGCACTGTGCTTGAAGAAGTGTGTGACCCTAGAACTCTATAAATAGGGCGTGGTGTCTGGACATAGAGTCTTTGAATTTCAGGAATTTATTTCCAGCCATGTCTCCCCTCCCTCCATTAAGCATTGCTTCTGAAATATCAAGAACTGTTCTGAAGCTTGCGGAACCATGTCTACGGTTCAGGAAAGGACACGCTACTGGTTCTTCCGAAAAATGCAGTGTGTACAGGGGCTTCCTCGTGGAACCTGTGGTCAGTCTGGGGGAAGATATGCACTCTATACAGAAAGTGTTTTCTGGGTAGAGTGACTATCTGGAGAAGGCTTTTATTTCTGAGGGGGAAAAAATCTGAGAAAGTGGCAATGATGAGCATAAAACCTATTCTTATTTCCGGCTCCAAGAATATATACGAAAAGCATCGTATATTTGGACCAGTATCAATGCCCGCTGAGGTTTGGCCAGCTGACATGGATCTCTTTTTAAACCTGAACTCCCTGGACTTCAGGGTAAAAGTGTATACAATGATTGAACAGCTAGAACCTTATTTATTTTATGTGTGATATGTGGCTACTGGCGGAATATAAATGACTAGTTGTCAAAGATGTTGCTTAGCAGTTAGGAACTAAACTCCGAAATTATAATCTCCACAGGTCTGAACCCAGGGTGACCTCAGGCCAAACACCTACACTTTTAGCAAAGGTCTCCAACTGAATAGAGTTTTCAAAACCTAAGAGAGTTTTGGTGACTCATATGATGATTTCAAGGAAGAAAGAATAGACAACAGACATAAGCCATCAATCTTAAGAACCCTGGAACTGCTTTAAGATTGAAAGAGAATAGTATTTACATACGAGAAACCTCATGATTTGTTCTGCCATTTTTAAAAGACTAAATTCTCACTTATTTTTACAATTTTATCTGGGGATATAATAATACTAAGTTTAGAACTATTTCTCTACCTAAAGTGGAAAGACAATATATTTGCTTTAAAAACATTAGAGTTAATGGGCTCCTATGTAGATTATAGAAAGGTTGGGAATGTTTATACCCAAAGACTACAACCAGGTAGAGTGTTTTGCCCCTGAAATAAGTACATAGGCTCGAAATTTTAAAAAATTTTTACAAACACACTATATTTTCATAAAATATATGAAAAAGATCACTGAAAAATAAAAATTAGAAGGAAAGTTCTCGATTCATAAAAATAAAATGGAGGCAAACCTTCCATTCTCTTTCCACTTTGAGGAGTCCTGAGCTGTTCGACGCTTTGCTTCTCGGGACTTGACTTCCCAAACTCTCTTCCTACGTTGGAATTTCTAGAGCTTGCCTTTCTTGCCTTCCTCTTCCATATTTTTTGAATTCAGTACTTTTTCCACTGCACCCAACATGGAGAACTACAACCTAGTTGTTTCCGTTGGTCATCTTTAATTCTTTTATCGTGTTCTCCAGCTGCCTGCATACGGTTTTTAAACCCTAAGGGCAAATGTGCCTCAGCCAGAAAGAATCTGTTTACTTTGACCAGCTGAAGGAGGAGAGACGGGCCGACTCCTCTCGGAAGCAAGCTCAGGCCAGCTTCCAAGACAGCTCTCACTCACCTGCCCCTGCAGCTACCTGTGCGAACTGTGACCTCCACCACTGCGAGGGACTGCTCAAACTCCACTAGTTACCTCCCTACACACGGTCTTTTATAGATATTAAGATAATGTCTAAAACTCATTTCCAGATGCTCAAAATGTTATCAATGACCAAGTGACATAATTACAAGATGCTGTGCTGATCCAGGAATGTCCTGTTCCTCCCTCACCATCCATTTCTCCACGACCCATAAATCAAAGTGACAGCCTGAACTTAAACCTGTGTACAGAGTACTGGGTAAAGAGTAGATTTCAGTAAATACTTGTTCAACTTTGTCCAAATTCCTTCTGTCCCCACCCACTGTTATATGGGTTATTAGAGGATAACTACAAACTCTATGGAATTAACTGAAAGGGAATATAGTAACTACTTAACATTCCCCCTCTTACCCCAAATCATCACTGTGGATTTTGGTAAAATGTCATGTATGACATTTTAATTTATCATTTCTATGTCAAATTCCAACTCTCCCATGAAGTTCTTCTTGAGGAAAAAAAGCTGCCGCCCCTTATCAAATCCTACTTAATTCGAGTAAATTTCACCCTTGATTCTGAAACTCATCCCTTGGCCAGAATTGGAAGGGATCTGTCCCCAAAACAACTTGCATTTAAAGCAGGTGAATTAATGTACTCGTGCAGAGCCTGTGATCTGAATGCATCTCTAGGTCTCTGTAATTAAAGCAGCCGTGGGCACTGGGGTGTGGCCCGGGGAAGAGGGTGACAGAGAGAAACAGAGAAGCATCTTCCGGCACTGTCACTTTGCTGTACACTTTACCCATGCTTTTCAAATATACGTGAAATTTAATCTTCAAAATGAAAAAATAGACACATTTTCTAATAGCAAAATATAAGATTAAAATACTTAAAAATAAAATGTTAGTGTGAAATAGGCCTTTTTTTTACATTTTAAAAAAAATGAAACATTTTAGCTTTGCTTTTCTTGCATAAATCTTCTTATCTCGGTAACAGTTACAACTGTCCAGAGCAGCTTTTACGAGACACAGGAGGAGACACAGGAGGAGACAGGGATCCTTTCTCCAGGTAGGAAGCCAGGGCCTGGATGTACGCGCAGCGCGGGGCTGTCCTCTCCTCCTCGGCTGGCCGGCACCAGACAAAGGAGCGGCGTATTTCCAACCTTGAGATGTTTCTTACGTGCTCCTCTTCCCGGGTGTCAAATTCCTTCTAAGAATATTCTACTTGTAAAAATGATTTTATTCTCGCTATAAAACATTTCATTTAAGAAAACCACATTTTATAGCCTTGTGTGACATGCCCCCAAAAGCCATCAAGATAGGGAGACATCCAATTCTCAAAACATAAATCGAATCATATGCCCTTGAAACAGTGTGAATGATTAACAGAGTGACATTGTATTCTGATATTTGTCATGAGATGAAAGGCTGGAAGGCATATGATGATTAATAATAGTTCCTGAGCTTCTAAAGAAATTTTACAATGAAATGACTAAATGCTTAAAAGAGTGAGTTCTTCAAGAGCACCCCTTCTGTTCCATTCATGTCTTTTATCCCATCAATCTCCTCAAGGAATCTCAGGCCGAAAGAAAGGCCTTCCTTTTAAGCCACCGAAAAATGGGATCTGATGGAATCTTCCCGCAACTCCCGATGTTTTCCAACGTTACTTTCTTCTTGCTGGTTTCGTCTCTCAATGGTTATTCTGTATTTCTTCCTGGGTAAAGGGAAAGTGAATGTAGTAATAAAACCTCACTTGGCTGCAAAATACTATGGTTTCTCTTACAAAGAATGCCCTCAGGGGACATCTGGGTTTGGGCTGATAAATGAGAAGTGACAGAATATGAAACCCTGGTCAGAGATTAAAGTAGCATACCCCAAGGCGCTGTGCCCCTATTCAAGGAGGAAAATTGGCCTGCTTTCCCAAATGCCATAGAACAAGCCTCCCCCTTCTTCCCTGGGCGCCTGGTGGGTGCATTCTTGTCTATTCTGCCACAGAAGCTCTCCCCAACTCCCGAGATATGCCCTAGATAAGGATCAGATTACATGTACTGTGACCAAAGGAACAGGAATACAATTGTTCCCACAAAGAGGCACATACACCCAGAATTACATTTCCACGCAGAAATGAATCAAGTGTGGTCTAATGACTTAAGAATGAGCCACAAACTCAACCACCAAAGATCACAAAGGAATGGACCGCCCTCCTGGTGTGAAACTGTCGGTATCCTGGACACAGGGAAATATTACAATGTTTCAAGCCTTAGGGCTTAACCACAGTGGTAACTAAGTGCGTGGGTTCTCCAAATATGGAGCACAGCCCGGCCGGAGAGCACGGACTGCTCACACGGACTGCTCGAAGCGACCGCCCCTTCTTCAGAAGGTGAACTCAGGCACCTATTTCTGAACTGGAGAAAGCCTGAGAATGAGGTAACCTATTTCCCCTTTGTCCAGATTCCTTCTCCACTTACACATTTAGTGGGTGATAGGAATTCGGGTCAGAATATTTGTCACCAAAGGGTAGTAGCAGCTCTGTGGCCCACAGGAAATGCAATAGAAACTCCCGCGCCTCTCCCTAGCGTGCTAGCCCACTGACCAACCACCAAACCAGGGGTCCCACCAAAAGATGGCTTTGTTCTTCTAATCGCCATGCTTTTGGAGTAAGAGCAAGATATGGGCAAGTCACAGAAGGATCATGCAAAGGCAAGGGACAAAGGCCATAATAAAGCAGAGTAGATTTTTAAAACCTATAATGAAGTCCTAACCTGAAAAAGTAGAAAGCCATTAGCAAGCCAGCTCCTAGTAAGGCGCCCACAACAATTCCTGTCACCGCTGATTCTTCTAGGCCACCTGCTTGAGAAGAAAAAACATAGATCACCAGAGTTCCTTTTGAGAAACGGCTAGTTAGAAATGCCTCATCCTAACTTTTCATGCATTGAAAGGTTTCATCCATTGGAAGGTGTTTCTCAGTGTTCCACTTGAGGCACATTTTCCCTGCTTTTTAAGATTTCTAGGGGATCCTGCATTTTTTCCTAAGATGCGTTTAAGAAAATACTAGACGAGCAATCACACTGCTACAAGTCAGTGAGCACAGTGGGAATAAAGCCGGTTCAAGGGGGCCTGAGGAAAACAGAAACAGAGGTTTCAGATCTGTCCACAGTTGTTCGGGTGTATAGTCAGAGGACAACTGGAAGGGATGTGGCACTGACCCGCACGTCTTACTTTCACAGACGGTGGGGGGCGCATCAAAGTGCTGGAAAACTTGATGACAAATTCATTGGGTTCCTGTTCTGTTTTTAGATGTTTTCTCACCAAGGCCAGAGTTGCATATCAAAATGTCCTGTATAGCTTTGTGAAAATGTAACATTTCTAAACAATCGAGTTCAGTGGTGTCCCAGTTATTTTGTAAAAATGATGAATCGCTGTCTTGTCTATAAAGAGTTCAGGGCACAGCCTTCAATGTATCATCTTATTTAACTCTCAAAATAGTCCTGAGAGCTGGGTAGAGTCCCTTCATTTTACATGTGGGAAAACTGAGGCTGAAAGAAGTTCAGGAAGGCCCTTGGGGTCACAAAGTGACAAGGGTGGGGCTTCAAATTTAGGCCAAATAACTCCAGAAACAGTGTTCTTTACTCTGCCTTACTCCCTCCTGTAATTATAGCACACACATAAATACCCCACCGGTTGAAGGCTCTTTCCCCAAAGCAGTGTGCACGCATATATTAATATCAGCATAAAAGACTGATATTAGCTTCGTTCTCCCTCGCTAGCGTATAAAAACGGGTCTTTCCAAAGCAACGATTTCCAACAATTTTCCTATGCGTAAGCTCCTTATAACAACATCCACTTGCTTCTGTATTTGTGACAAGGCTGTTCATAAATAACAGAGTTGACACTCATTAGCCAGTCTGTACATTTGTAGGTGTTTAAGAGACATCATCTGTTTGGTTCTGAGGGGTCGGAGGAAGCTACAGACTGTGAAAATCACAATGAGACCTGCTACAAGATGAACAAGTGGGTGACAGCTACTACTTGACATTCGGACTTTCTCTGAGAGGGTGTGTCATTCCCTTATTCGCCTCTCGCAGCAAGTCTCATTGTGATTTTCAAAGTTTGCTTATTGTAAGATTATAGTAAAAGATGTAAAAGTAGGGAGAAGCCTTTTGCCAGTTTGGAAAAGGATGGATGAGAAGAAAGACCTAGAAGCTTCTGATGAAGACGGGACACCAGTTTGTGGCTTGTTCCGTGGGTTTTACCCCATCAGAAGAAGGACACACAGAACATGAGGTCCTGGGAAACATCTTTCCAACTCACACTGTGCGGTCAGCCTTGATGAGGAAACTCAGCGAATTAAGGCTCTGAACTTACATGATTTGCAAGGAGGGCTGCTTGTGTGCTCCACCATTCTGGTTTCATCGATTCTCAGCTTTAAAGGCCCCCACGGGTATTTGACGTTGGGCCGCATTTCAAAACGACCTTCTTTTCCAAAGTAATCGCCAATAACCTATATAAAGGCAAAAAGCAAACATACAGGCTGAGAGGTCAAAGTGACCTGTTTCCGAAGGAGGTTCGGGCGGGCTCCCCTGTGGTGCCCTCTGACTGTACCGGTGTGTCTCGGAGGACTTGGTAAGGCAGGTTGTACAGGCTCCCGTGAGCATCACTTAGGGAGAACTGTGGCTCCTCCAGGCGAGAAAAGGGGCTGGTTACACAGAAAACAATAACCCCGGGATTCACGGCTTTTCCCTCGCTGGTACGAGGCTTCTGCTCCACCCAGCAGCCCGTGTGGTCAGCCATTCACACGGCCCACGGTCCTTTCGGGGCTGTGTGAGGGAGATCAGGGTGCGCCCGGCCCTCGGGTGAAGGTATCACAGGTGCATGGCCTCCCGCCACGCGGTCAGCTCCGCGTGTAATTAAAACGCTGAAGGAAGAGTATGTTCAGGGACTTCCTGCCTCAGCCTGCGCTGGTAGGAGGGCTGTTCCCCATCCTGACTGCGGGGATTACAGTCTCCTGGCTGATGAACTGACCTATTTGCTCCCCCATTTCCAGGCGGAACTCTTTCTCATTTGGTTCCTCCAGTTCCTGAAAAATCAGTATTCTTCCGTGCTCAGTCCAAGGTTCTCTTTCAGTTTCAGGTTTAAATGACTGTTTCATCAGCTACCCGAACCCTGATCTAGCAGCAGCTCCCACCTGGCTTTTGGGATCTGTTTCTCTTTTGCCTGGGCACCAACATGCTCCGGGTGGCCTGTGACACCCCCTGCCTTCTGTCTTGAAGGAGGCGCAGTGAGTTCTCACAGGCCACTTCCTGTCACCGTGAAAAGAATTCCGGATAATCGCTGAAATATATCACTCACTGGCATGTACTGAGAATGCACACATCTTTACACACTTGCACTCCTAACCCTCACCACGACCCTAGGATGGACAACGACTGCCCATCGCTTACAGAGGAGAGGCTAGAATGTCCAGAGGCCCAGACCGGTCCGTGTAGCATATGTGACCTGCAACCCTGCATATTTGTGTCATCTTGATTTATGGACTTATCCGTTAAAGTTGGTATAGTACTTCACTAGGTTTCATTTCATCTGGTGCTCACAATAGTCGTATGAGATGGAGAAAGATAACAGGGTTTCCACGGAACAGCCCAGGAGCCGAGGCAGGGAGCTCAGACCCCATGAGTGTCAGAGACAAGTCTTTGCATCCAGAACACTCTTCCCTCGTCACGCTGCTGCCTGAAACCCCACCACCTGCTGAAGTATGAATGCATATGCAGCTTGTAACCCCCACCGGAGCAAATTCCAATTTTAAGGGAAAAAATAAGCAGTGTCACTTCACTTCTCTCGGTAATGATCCTGCATCTTAGGACAGAGGGGGGACTCGTGGCCACTTGAAAGGTAGGATTTCTGCACTTGGGATAAACACGGGACCCTTTCCTGAAACCTTCCCTGAGGCCCTCAACCGAAGTGAGTCCCCGCTACGTGGAAAATCCCGGGTGCTGGGCTCGTTTGCATTTGGAGGCTGCCGTGGGGACCGCTGCCCGGACACCAGGACAGACGCACTCCTCGGAGTGTTGACAAGCAGGAGCCTGGGGAGCTCACTCACCTCCTGGGTGCCTGCGTCCGCGTCAGTCATGGCAATCACGGAGAAGTCCCCGTAGCGGTCTCCGTTGGTGTCTATGGACACCTGTCCGGCGATGCCTAGAGGACGGCAGGAGCAGAGCCCCACGTTAGTTACTTCAAATACGGCAGTTGGCCAACGAAAACGAGAAAACGGGTTGACAGGATTTTTTAAACAAACTCATGCCACAGGGAATCTCATCAGACGCGGAGCGCTTTTGTTGGCCTTTGGGAAGACATTGTAATTTCATCTGTGTCTGCATTCCTAAATTCTTAACATTTCTCCAGTTAAAAATGAAAAGAAAAAGAAATAAATGACCTTCTTTGAGAAATATGTTTTAAAAAAAAAAAAAGGGAAGAAGAAGATTAAGGCGAATCCTGAAAGCAACACCCTTATCCCAGAGCTTTCTACCCATTTAAACCAAACACAAACTGCGCAAGGGACAAGCAGAGGGGGTTCATTCCTAGACTTGTCATGGGTCCACGTCATCACTAGACGAACATTATGAGAGGAAGCCCGTTGCAGGCCCAGGACTCTGCACGTGCCTCGCTCTGGGCTCCTTAGGTGCACAGGCGGGCAGAGGGCCTGCCTCAGGGCTCACAGAGCTATTCTTCATCCCACTGTGTTTGCTCATTGTTTTGTTTCTGTCTGGGGGCAGTTTTTCCTAGTTTTATCAAGATATAATTGACATATGCCACTGTTTGACCTTCAAGTGTACAGCATAAAGTTTTGATTTACATATATTATGAAATGATTACCACCATAAGTCTAGTTAGTATTCATTATCTCATATAGACACAATACATCATTTATTGTTTATCCACATGTTTTCTAGGTGATTATTAGTGTTGACTCTAATGCTGCTGTGGCCAAGGTGAACTGGACATATTCTCAGCTCAGAAGGGGGGCAGCCATGACGGGGGATTTCGCTTGGTGGTGGTGGAATCTGAAGGGCTGAATCCCAGCTTTCACATTTACCACTTCTGTGACCTCGAGCAAGGACTTTGCCCTCTGAGCCTCAGTCTCCAACACTATGAGAGTCATAATGGCACCTCCCTGCCAAGAGGCTGCTGAGAAAATGAAACAGGTAGAGCCCCTTCCACGCAGGGTTGAGAGAAGTGGTTGTCTCCTGGCGTTATCCCCGCTGTCGCTATGCCTGAAATCTGGACCAGGGCATGGCGGTGCTCACGCCCTCGGGAGGACTCGGGGAGAAAGCAGGCCTGTCACAGGAGCCCTGATGAAGTCTGCGGTTTGGATCAGACGCCATCGGAGAGTGGGAGTGTTTGAAGCAGAAAGGCTAACTTTGTTCGTATGTACAAAGGCACAGAAGCCAGAAGGAAGCAGAGTGGCCATGAGGTTTCTGGGAGATGGTCCACATGCATGGAAGGGAGCAAGGAGAATGGCTGGAACCGAGGGGCCCGAGTGCCCACACAAACGACTTACTCGCTTTGGCTAGCAATGGTGGCTTACAGCAGCTAGTCAGCAAAAGCAAATGTGTATCATTAGTTGACATTAAATGTCGATATTGTAATTTTCATTAACCGAATAACAGAGTGCAGATGTCAGCTACATTCTAAGTCTATTTGTTTCCTTTCATTTCAAACTGTAGTAGAGTTCAGGGTAATTCTTAATTGGAGTTTCCATTGATCTGGTTCTCTCCGGAAGTGAAATGAATGTCTGGGAAAAGGGATCCCAGGGGAAAGTTCCATCCTTGAGTGTGGTTTGGAGAGGGCCAGTATTTGGGTTTACTGTCCTTGGGCTGTGGTTTGAAGGCCCGCCGATTTTTCCAGACTTTGGTCTACTTTGCCAGAAACAAAATGGAGCTACCATTCATCCGGATGTTTTGTCTTCTTAATATAGACTGGTTACAAAGGATACACCTAGCCCCAAACCTGTTTATCCTTGACAGCCTATACAACTTTTAAGTGATGCCACTTTTAAAAAACATATTCATCGCCAAACGTACTGGTTATCCAAAACCTTTTTTTATTCTGTCCAGAAGGGTTTTGATGGTGAGTTCTGTGTTTTTCAGAGTATTTTACAAGACAAGGTGGCCCTAGTAATCCAAGACCTCATTACACTTTGAGCTATTACAATTCTGCCAAGAAATGAGGTGAGAACCCTCGGGGTGGCCGATTAGCAAGTGAGACTTCACCTGAGAGTGTTGCACATAAGGTGCGACGGCCAGGCTGACAGAATTTTCCTGCACATAAGCAGTGAGACTCCACCCTCGTTCCTGTTGACCTGTAGTGGATCTCCAGGTTTGAGCCACAGTCCTATTTACCTTGTCGCTCTGACCTCTCACACAGGGAGGAAATTCAGCTTCTTCCCAGGCCATGCTGAGACCTGGTCATAGGTTTCTCGGTAATAAAATCTAAATTTGTCGAATAACATCCAGAGTATTTTTCCCTTGAGAACTTAATGGTCACTTATGGTGACCATTAAAATTAAAATTGTTTTTAATTTTAGAAAGGTTAGCGTTTTTCTTAGAGTTCTTTTGGGGGCTGCCCTCAGCTTGATCGTTGTTTAGCAAATAGAATGGAAATTTACCTTGGCTTCAATTGTCTTCACATTTGGACAAATGAGATTCTGAGTCTAAGCTGAAGCATACAGTTGATTGTTTTATAACTCATTTCCTATTGCCTGTGTGGACCTGGTCTTGGAACGGAAGATCCAGCCCTGGCTAGTTTGGCTCAGTGGTTAGAGGATCGGCCTGAGGACCAAAGAGTTGTGGGTTCGATTCCGGTCAAGGGCATGTACCTTGGTTATGGTTCAGTCCCTGGCCCTGGGTGGGGTCGTGAGAGGGGCAACCAATCTATATGTCTCTCTCACATCGATGTTTCTCTCTCTTTTGCTCTCTCTCTCTCCTTCCCTCCCTCCCACTTTGTCTGAAGATCAATGGAAAAATATCCTCAGGTGAGGATTTGAAAAGAGAATGGAAGATTAAGACAGCCTATGGGGAAATTTAGTCCATGCTCTCTAAACAAAACTGAGTTCCAGCCACTGTGGGCACCTACCCTTCCCTTAACAACCTCCCTCAGAAGACCAAGAACAAATGACCACACCACACAGTGAGGAATAGCTAGGAACAGCATGTGGCCTACCAAGACTGTGTCCACACACACCCATTGCTCAGTGTATTGGGCACAATTTCTGGAAAATTTGACTCTGTCCTAATATGCCCCCTGAATTATCCTACTTGACTCCAGCTCCCCGGCTGAAGCAATCAGAGGTTGAGCAAGACAACCCTGGAGGCTTGTTTGTTCACGTACCATAATCTGTTCAAAGTTACGCAGGTGTCACTCTCGTTTTGAATAAGATGTGGCATCTACAAAAACCGCCAAGGAGAAATGAAATCTACCCGTTGTCACTACAGCTACGGCCCAGACAATTCTGGATGGAACGTGACCCCTCGGTATTGCCCTACCTCTTCTACTAACTGAGAACAGAACGAGACAGCAGAGTGGGTAGGAGTGCCAACTGGAAAAAAAAAAAAAAAGTATGCCTCAAATCCAGACTTGGAAGTACTTGTTCCCATTATTGAAAATTTCATTAGTTGGATTGCAAATAAATAGAGGCATAACCCCAATGCACTAAAGGATTCAAAGAGTTAGCATGATACAGAAGTGAAAGGACCCTTGGCAGTCATCAACTAGCCCAACCCCCACCATGCAGGTGATGAGGGAAACCCAAGGGACTGAAGGTGGGGTCAGTGGCTGGGATACAGGTCTCCTGGTCCAGTGGTCTGTACTCTGTCAGTGGTTCTCATGTGATACCCATTGGCATACTACAGTTTATTTTCCACATTGTCCCCATAAGGACCCCCTTTAGAGACTCAAGATAGAACATGTCCCTCAAACCCTCTGGTGACTTTCTATTTCATTTCATAAAGTCCTTGGTACAGTCCCCAGGTCCATGGGATCTAGCCCCCACTATCTCCCTGACTTGAGCTCTTATCACACTGCCTCCCATGAGCTCTGCTTCGCCTCCTCGCTCGTCCGGGGGCGCTCAGGACTCTCCCACCAGATATAGTCAAGGTCTCTGCATTTGCTGCTCCCTCTGGAATGTTCTCTCCTAAACATGATTTCTTTCACTCCTTCAGGTCTCTACTCAACTGCCACTTATCGGAGAGACTGTCTCCTGATCACTCTATTTAAATTAGCAGTCCCATCCAACACTTTCTATCTCCCAATCCTGCTATATTTTATAGCCCCTGAAATGGTGTATTTATTTGTTTATCACCAGCACCCCTCCCCACCTCCAACTACCACGGAAGCTCATATGATTGCAGGGAATGTCTTTAGTTCACTGCTAAATCCTCAGCACCTTGAACAGTGCCTGGAACACAGTAGGTAGGTGCTCAAGACTATTTGATGAATGAATGAATGAATGAATGAATGAATGAAAAGTTGATATCTGCAGGGCTCATGTTAATTTTTTTTGAGTGCTGTTGAGGTCAGAGGAAACCAGTGCTCTATATACTGTTGGCAAGAACAGAGGCTAGTAGATCTCTCTGGAAGATCTTTGGCAATATCTAACGTACTTTAAAAGTCACCAACATACTTTTGGACCCAGATATCTCACAACTAGGAATATCTCTGTTCCATGTACTCACAAAAATTCATCAAGACACGGAAGATGCTTAACAGCAAACACTATAAACAACTATAAAGTGTCCATCACTAGGAAATTGGTTAGAGAAGTTCTTGTACAGCCAAATGGTGGAAAACTATGGAACTATTGTTGAAAATGTGCTGCACCCATGAGTGCTCATATGGAAAATGCTTGACATGCAAGTAAAAAAAGCTATGATGAAGAATGGCATTCATGGTATGGCTCCATTGAATAAATTTTTTAAGATAAGATATAATTCAAATGCGTATATGCTGGCAGAAGACACAAAATATTTTTAGACCTAATCATGGGGAACTGTTCATAGTGATCACATTGGGAAGAGGGAACTAGGGTGGGGAGGAAAACTTCCACTTTTCATTTTGTACATTCTTGTACTGTTTAAAATTTCCAGCCAAGAATAGTCTTATTCTTGTATAATTTTTAAATGTCAACAGAGGTTTGCTTGAGTGATGAGAGAGATGACGGGCCATTTTTTGGTTGTTGTTCTTATACTTACTTTTCTGTCCTTAAGAAAGCCACAGCTAATAATCACCATTTAAAAAAATAAAATAAAAGCAGAGGGCTCACTGGACCTGCGCATCATCTCAAACCACTCAGGTATGAACAGAGAAATGTATACCTGGAATTTTTCCTTTTAAAACTGACTACAGAACTCCTCATAAACTGATTATTTGTTGTGAATGAGACTGGTGATTCATTTAGTTTTAAGAGACATGAAGTTGTTACCCAACAATCAGAAGGAGATAAGCAACTTCCCATTTTAGTGGGACTCATTCAAAAAACTTGCACATGCTTTATCTCATTGAATTTTCACAGCAAGCCTGTGGGCTGGGTTGATCTTGACTGCCTATCCTTACTTTACAGCTGAGAAAGGCACCGCCCCACAGCTGGAAGAGAAAAACAGAACCAGCAAAGCAGCAGCTTGATGAGCTTCAAAGGGTCGTCACCTTACAGACCGAATCCTTACCTTCAAATGTTCTGTTCCAAGTCTGCTGGATAATTTTCCCTCCATCCTTCTTGCTATAACCAGCTCTGAGTACTTCATGCAAAGCCAGGACGTAGAGGAGAATGGCATCATGGAACCCTTCAACAAACATGTTAACCTGGAAAAGAAACTCCAGTTGGGTGGGATCAAACACCAAAGGACTCAAGTTGAGGAATAATGTCAGCAAATCAAAATGATTAAAACGTTAGACTCCAGGCCCATAAGCATGGCCGAAGTGGACAGAGGAGTAGCTAAGAGGAATCATGACATGATTGTCTTGGCACTGGCTTAGTGAGGAAAACCTTTCCCCAATTTGGGAATTTGGAAAGCAGACAAGATATTACAGAAGTAAAAAAACAAAACAAACAAACAAAAAAAAAAACACTGTACCTGTTGACTAGGTTGAGTATTCCAGGTACATCAGCCTTTGCCCACAGTTCCCTCGGCACACGTGCCCTCCTTCTTCCCGCATTGCTCTCTACCTCAAGTCACCTTGAGTCCAACCTCCCCCTTGAGGTTTTCTCCATCTTCAACAGCCTCTCTGACTCTCCAAGCTCCGAGGTGGAAGATGACTAAAAGAGCAGTGGGGATCCACTCATTCATGCTCAGATACTACTGAATGCCTACCAGAACGCTAAGGATGCAAGAGGAACGGGTCTGGCCCCTTCTGCCTGCCCAGCATTGAGGTTCTCCATTCTATCAGCAATAAAGTCTTCATTTCTCTTTCTGATTTGTGTTCTGAGTGGTTTCAGTGCATCTGGGCACTCCCTAGCTCCTCTCCTGCCAAGCTCTGAGGACAGAATGGAAACAGGCCTGGACCATTGGTTTACCCCAGTTGAGTCCTGGCTCAAGTAAGGTCGTCCTTGGCCTCAAAAACTTACAGCTTCATGTGAACTTGGGGAATTCACTTAAATCTCTTTGAGCCTTATTTCCTTCTATGAGCACCATTTGGTAAGTTCTAATACCCCACTTAATCCCATTGTAACAGTCATTGAACACGAAATGAACATATACAATCCTGAAACAGCGAGTAGCTTACAAAATCTGTACAAAAATACAAAAACAAACCAAGCCTTCTTATTTCAGGTGACAGTGTGAAGACTGGAATACCGTGCAGCAGAATGAATTAGGCATTCCACGGAAGACCACAGTGAGGATTTGTGAAGGTGTTCTCTGCCTACTCCTAGTTCAAATATAAAGACATTCACAGAAGACACAGCTCAACAACCGGTTCTACTTAGCCTCATCCCACCCCAAAGTCCCAGTAAGTCCTGTTTGTGTCCCAGAAGCAAATATTTCTGATTTGCCCAAGCCTACTGCTGAAAGGCAGGTTAGAATGATGGTTAAAAGAGCCTGGGCTCACTACCCAGCTCTGCCAATGCCTAGCTGTGTTTCTGTGTCCCCATTTGGAAAATGAGGGAAATAGTAATACCTATCTTAGGGAGGGTGCTGTTAGCTTTAAACAAACAACAGATGTAAAAGATGCCTGACAAAGTCAGTATTCACTGTTAGTTTTTGTTGTTGTTATTGTCCAGAGATAGAGAACTATAAACCTAGAGATCCTGGTTAGCTTCTAATTTCTAGTAGCAGTATCCATCAGTTTACTGGTGTAACATATCTTACTGACTCAGTTTACACTCAACGAAAACTCCTTGTTCATGCTTTGACACCCCAAGTAGTTCCCTTTTACTTCCACAATGTTCAGCCCTTACTTTGGCCCAAGTATGATGGGTGCAGCCCAAGCTGGTCAATTGCACTGACCCTCCAAGACGGGTGGAGGGTGGAAGAGAGTGCTGGTTCACAGGAGAGCTCTGAGTCGGCTGCTGGACCCCGCAGCTAATCCTAGCCCTGACACATTGCTTAATCGCTCTGGTCTTCAATTTCCTCATTGGTTTAATGGGGGGTTAGTACCTACCCATCGCACAGAGCTCTTCTGGGGATTGAGTGAATGAGTTCACGGAAAACACCCAAAACAATCCCTGGGACTGTGACAGCAAATAGACTGGCTCCTGCTCTTAGCCACCAAGCTCAAGTCTCAGAGTCATTATTTTCTTAGGCGAAGCAGAATGTGGAGAAATAACATCTACTAGTCAAAGATAATTTTCTGCTGATTCGACTATGCTAATTCAATTTTCCAAAGGAATATGAAATTTTCACTTAGATCACGAAGTCATCGTGGCCTGAGAAAGTATGCATTCTGACGAGTTAATTCGTTTTAGTAAGTGAACTTTAGCTGTGGAACTCAATTCTCAAGCCACTAAAAAGTATTTTTCAAAAGCTCTTTCTTCTCTTTGATGATTGTATAAACATCACCCTGCTACAGAGGGAAGTCACAGAAGCGTGGAATATGGAAGATGTAAGGTGCCTCAGAAAAGCTCTGGTCTAATGCTCCCCTTACTTCGAAGACCACAAAAGCATTGCTGGCCCTCAGTCGTCCTGCACTCTTTACCTGAGGGTTCCCTTCATATTGCTTGTTCCTGGGGAGCCTAGGATAGCCCCTGCTTCAACTGCAAGTACCAGCTGCTGGGCATCACTTGTCCACCTCTTCCCTCTCCTCTTCACTCCTCAAAATACTACCCAAGGCCACCAAGCTACTGTTAGCACCTGAGCACCGTACGTGTCCCCAGCAACACTTCTCATCTGGTTCTTCCCCTTCCTTCTTGATAGGCCATGTGAGCTGCCCCCTCTACACCCAGCATGGAAAGAACAGTTATCTGCTGGGAAACATGAACTTGGATCACTTTTGTCCTAGCAGGTTTAATGGTAGAAGAGAATAGATTGGTTCTGAACATGTGACCGGGTCTGAAAATTCATTCTGTCTTGATTTGCAAATGGATCACAGCTTACTTCCTTTCCTTTTAAAGTAACTGAGTGTCTCCCTCTCCTGCCAAAATTAGCAGGAGAGCTGCTGACCCCCACTGAGGTTTGCTGGCACCCCAGCCTGCTGCGGAGGAGGTTTCATAACACCTACCTCATAGGACCTCGAGCCAGAAGCAAAACCCTAGAGACCTTCTTTTCTTGAGGAGAACATTCTCACATCCACACGTGTTTTTAAATGGGAGGAAAGCCCGTTAGCACATTACAGACACTGAAAATTAGAAGTGCAAATTTAAAAAAAAAATAAGGGAGAAAAATACCCAGAGTATTAAGTTGCCTTTGGAACACTTTCCCCTGAACCTCCAGGCTAAAAGGGAACAAAGGCATCTGGTCTGTCCCCTGCCTCTGTCACAACAACACCTGGACCTCGAAGTCCTGACTGACACATTGTACTATTGTTACTGAGGGCAGGGATTAGGATTTGCCTCTTTGGACAGACTTCCTCTAGTATTTAGCATCTTGTTTGGCCAAAAAGCTCTTCCTTGCTGTCAGTAGCCATAAGTCTTCATTAAACTCTTAAATGCAGCCTTTCCCCTTGCTAGATGCTGAACAAGCAGAGTTGAGAGAACAATACAATTCATGAGCCCTGGGGATCTACAGTCTCAACCAAACAGTGTCACAGCTCCATGAGGACACGTAGATGGACCCCACCCAAGGTGGTTGGAAAGTGGACCACAAGGAGGGACAAGCCCCAGGGTGATCAATATCTGTGCTGTGTGTCATTCAGACAAGATGGAAACCACGCACCATCTTCCACGCACCCTGGGAACTTTGCCAGAACAAGGCAGCATGTTGGCATTAACTCTCCCATCACTTCACCTCAACTCTCTGGACTTTCCCTCTGCAGCTGGCCAGCGGCGGGTATGCCAAACAGAAGAGTGCCGTTTTTGCCTTGGGCCTCCCTCTCTGATTGCACGTGTCAGCCATCTCTATTTATGACGTGTGTTTGTTTCTTCTCATCTATCATGGGAAAAGCTAAATAGAAACCTTGCTGTTTTTTAACTGAGCACAAAGAGTTGCCATTCGTGACGTGGCTCCTATCTGTGACAGGAGAGGCGTCTTTCTCATTTCTCTTTGGGGAGGCAAATTTATAGAGGAATTCCTCAGTGCTTGTGTTCCAGACAAGCAAGCAAAGAAGGCTGCCTGTCTCCGCTGGTCTGTAAAGTGAGAGTGGATAGCATGGCAGTAATCTCCCTCCCAGGTCGTCTGGGTATCTGAGAAAGCTACCAAGGCAAGGCGAGGCTGCCCCAGCGTCTTGCTTGTGATATTCCCAGGATTCAAGCATATCACAAGGTGGCCCCATCTTCCTTCCCTCAAAACAATGGGTCCCAATGCAAATAAGGAAAGTGAGGAGTGTTGGGCAGCGTATCCCAAGAGTCTTTTGAAAAGGCATGACCCCTGACCTCCCATTCAGCCGAAGAGAAGATGGGGGGAGGGAAATGTTGATGGCAGGAAGGTAAGGAGAGAGAGCTTCAGGTCCTGCCTTTCCCAATCACTGTGGGAACAATGGCAGTAGCATCTTGCCTAATTAGTAGTCAGATCCTGGAAGTGGACCTTGTCGTCCCCTCCTAGGCCCGGAGATGGTGGCCAGCAGAATGACACGTCCTGGGCATGCAGCATGGGTAGCCGAAAGTTAAAGACCATTATGCTTTTGATGAACACAGTGCAAGTGACCTCCATACAACGAAAATATAAATACTGTACTGTTTGTTCTCATTCCATTTTCTTTTGAATCATAAAATTAAAAATCTACAATTTAGAATAAGAGCAGGAACTCCATAAATCAGGTGATATCACAACCTCCTCAACAAGAGTAAGAGGGTTCTCACCCTTACTAACAGACACCTGAATGTGTGTCCTTCTACACGGGGCCTGCCTGCATGGAGTCCTCCCTGACCACTTGCTGACTTCTTTCAGCCTTGACAAGGGTGAAGTTGAAAATCTTCTTCCTTAGCCTGGTGACTCTGAGGCAATGCAAAGGACAAGGGTCTTACTAACAGCCAGGCAGCAGGTCAGGGGGGCAGCAGGGCCCAGCTCTGTGCTTGGCCAAAGCATCTTCACACCATCTGGCAGATTCCTTGCCCCTGACTGAAGATGACTCACTTGGGTGGGAGTTTGCCCCAACTTGCCCAAATGACTGTCTCCATCCCGGGCTCTGCGCTGCCCCTGTAGCAATGCCCTTGACTGACCAACGAACTCAGATCCTATAGCTTGAAGTATGGCTACTGGTAATTTCAAGGT